TAGCCTCAAGCCACAAAGACACAGCAGCATGGGGTAAGCAGCCCAACCCAGCCCTCCGGGGAGCGATTTATGTGGAAGGGACTTTACACTTTAACAGGAGAAGCAAACCAAGAAAATTTGTCAATTAGAAAATTTAAGATTTGAAGACTCAGAGAGCATTTCAGAAACTTTCTTCTCTTTTCCTTTAGTAGAACCCCAGGATGCAAACACGTTACGGTCTTTCTGGTTGTCTTCTCTTTTGTCTTCCCTAACAAATAGTAGCAATCACAATAGCTAAAAGTAACTGAGCTGTTTAATCCTCAGCTCACCCTCACAGGTGGACACTATTATCACAATCTCCATCTTGCAGAAGCGAAGCTGAGGCCTAGGGTGACCCCCTGCTCACCCACATCACACAGCCCAGAAGCAGGCAAGAGATTTAACACAGAAAGGTAATTCCAGAGTCTGGATGCGTATCGCCAGGTGACGTTGCCCATGGGGCCTCTGCTTGAATGGACAGGGACGTTGAGCCCAGAGCAGGCCCTCCAGAAATCTTGGCTGAAAGAGGAATGGGCCATTTTTGAGTTTTCTTTGTCAGACTCTCTTAAATGTGGCTCCTTCTCTCTGTCTTAGCATCTCCCGCCTAGGATGTTGCAGTATTCTTCTAATTGGTCTTCCTTCCTCCAATTCCTCCTTCCTCCAACCCAACTTCCCCATTGCTAAGAGAGTTATTTTTCCAACAGAAAATTTCCATCATGTCATTACCCTGCTTAAATCTTTCAGTGACTCCCCACTTCCCACAGCATGAAGCCCAAACTCCTCAGCAAGGTTCTCTGGGTACCTCCTAAATCGAGCCCCCACCCCCTCCCCAGCCTCATCTCCTACCACCACTGCCTATACCTCTCAGCTCAAGCTACACCGACCACTTGCAGCTCTCTCAACGGACCTCACATGATGTTGGGATTCCCTTTACCATGGCCAACCGAATGAACCCCTCCCATATTCCTCGTTTCTGTTTTAACGTGTGGTGGTGAAGAACCTGCGATATATGTTCAGACTGCCCAGGAGTGAATCCTAGACCCTCTGCTTACTAACCAGGTGACCCTGAGCGTATAACTTCACCTCCTGCTGCCTCAGTTTCTTCATCTGTAAATGGGCAGAAAAGACTATCCTCATAGAATGGTTGTGGGGACTAAAGAAGATAAATAGTCACAAAATCCTCCCTATTTACCTCACTGGGCATTTTTCCACATCCTTCAAATAGCTCCATTCCAATGAATTCCAATTATTGGTTTACGTGCCTCTTCCTCCAGGTTTTCTCAACCTATTGACATGTTAGACTGGATAATTCTTTGTGATGAGGGGGCTATCCTGTGCATTGCAGGCTACTTAGCAGCATCTCTGGCCTCTGCCCGTTAGAGGTCTATAGCACTTCCCCAGTTGTGACAACCAAAAACGTCTCCAGACATTGTCAGATGCCCTCTGAAGGCAAACCCCCTCCCTGCTAAGAACCACTGCTTGCAACTCTGAGTTCCTTGAGTAGTACTCTAAACAGCGGCAGCTGCAATAGCTATCTTTTTATGAGCGTTCACCATGTGCCAAGCATAGTTGAAAGTTCTTTTCACGAATTATAGAATTTAATCCTCTCAACACCCTAAGGGTGGGGGATTTTAGGCACATTTTATGGATAATGAAACAGGATCACAGAGACATTAGTAACTTGCTCAAGGTGCATCGTATTCTCACCCTGTCCATCCCAAAACCTAGCATGTTACCTGATACAACCGGAGTTCAGTAGTAATTTAAAGAATGGATGGATGGATAGGTGAATGGAGGGATGGATGGATGAGACAGTCTCCTCCATAATAGCAATCTGTCTTTCTTCACTTTCCAGGGACAGCGACCCTTCGGTCTCCTCCAGAGTCCCACGGTACCTGGGAATTCATCTGTAAATGGGCACAAAAGACTATCCTCACAGAATAGTTATTCATTGGAAAATCTCTCCCCAGATGGGGCTTTCCGAAGCTATCCAGGCATTTCATGGGGTTAAGCTGTCCTGGTTACCCTGTTTTTGTTATTAATAGCATGAATCACACCTTCCAACTTAGCTTTATGAGGGGTCATTCAATCCAGCCACGAGTCCCGACATTACATCGATCTAATTTTCTACCTATCAGTCACTCCGTTCAGACTTTGGTGAGACACAATAATACTATTTCTCCAGCTTAGAACACATCACACTGAAACCTCCCCCCACGAAATACTGTGTTTCTTATGAGCACTGTATACAGCGCTGCTCAGAAGCGTAAAGTGAGCACATGGTCCCCTGATCCATAAGTGTGGACATTTTCATCCTATGAAGGAATCAGTGAACTGAAGGGTAAACCATAATGATGTGATTCTTGGTTGACACATGTTCAGCATTTAAATCTGCTTAACCTACAGAAACTGTAGATAAACACAAGTATAAATCCTTAAATCACAGTGGATGAAGATCTTAAAGTACCCCAGGTCCAGGACTGATAATGGGTTTAGGGGGAAGAAACAGAGAAATGCTTTCTGTTAGGGAGCAAGGAACGCCGATGTTTCTTGATTCTGCTAAAACTCTAGAAAGTGTTATATATAAAGCAAATGTTTAAGAGAGAGTTGAGCTTATGATAAAGCAAGACTCCTCCTTAAAGGGCTTGTGGACTCACTGGGTGCAGCAGGGTAGAGTCAGACAGACCTCACTTTGAATCCTGGCTCTGCCTTTTTGGCAACTGGAAAGTCACTCAACCTCTTTTTAGCATCTGTTTCCTCATCTGTAAAATGGGCATAATAATACCAATTTAGAGGGCTGATGGAAAGATTAAATGAGATAATGGGTGTAAGGTGCCTGGTTCATAGCCTATGCCTAATAAAGGGTAGCTTTTTTAATTGTTATAAAAATGATCTTAAGAGCTCACACATCCACACACACCACATTTCACAGAGAAAACTTTGAGGTCAAAATATGGGATGGGTCTTAATGGCAGCACAGGAATTAGAACCTCTACACTCCCCCATCCTGTCCTTCATTCTGGCCTCTGAGCTCTTGCATAAAGGAAAGAACCAAAGAATGGGCAATACAGAAATACTGAATTAATACAAATGCATGCATAAGCTCAGCTATCCCGTGGCATCACCAATGTTATAGATTTAGTTTGACATCTCATTCCGAAAGCATTTCTCTATTGAGCAATAATTAGATGCAAAGCAATGCATGGGCTACGCATGGATGCAGATAATAAGACATGATCCCTTTCCTCAAGATCTCACTGTCTAAGAAAGGAAAAGTCAAGGATGAATCAAGACTCAATTCAGACGGCCTTTTAGGTTATTATATGTATTGCAACTAAACAAAAAGATCTCACCACATAACACAACATATATAAATATAATTTCATTCTTAGTTAAAACTATTCCAGAATTATTTCCTCCATTCTCTATGGCCTTCTGTGCCTTAAATCTGGCACAGATTAGTACAGCACTCTCACCACCAGATTTGGTAGCATTTTCTCATGAAAAGAAAAAAGAAAAAGACAAAGCCATCCAAGAAAGAGTGATATGAAACACTGCCATTGGATTTTAGCATTTAAAAGTTTTATTTTTTAATAAAAATTGTAGGGCATAGGTATGAAATCTTACTTACTCCCGGGGAAAAAATGTGTATTTTTATTTATCTAAGAGTCAAGTCAGATTATCAAAACTAACTTAAAAGAATACAGTTACTACAAAGGTGCCAGATCATAAGTAGCCTCAAAATTCCCCCACCCCATCAGTACAGTTTGAAAGAGATAAATACATACATACATAATAAACTAGCCCAGCCTTGCGAAGCCTACAGAATCCTGGATTGTAGTAGCTGTTAGAATTTAAGCCATTAGATAATCCCAGACCCAGAAAGAATTGTGGAAGCCATCTTTTCTATTCCTCTGCCTTCCAAACGTTAGAACCCACAGGAGGAAGAGACGCTCCCTTGCCTCCATAAACGTCAGCACCTTCCACCATGGCCTATTCTTCATGGTTCGGGAGGGTGTGTAGGGTAGGGAATCAAACTTCAGCCTCAGAGGCAACCATCCTCCCTCACCTCCAAGGTGAATCCCTCCACCCGGGCTCCCCACCATTTCCCCTTCCTCCCCCGCCTTCCTCCTCCTAGTTCTCTCTACCTTTCACAGATTCTCAAGCCTCCTGTTTCATTTCCTCCCGTCACACCACCTTAGATGACTCTCTGCTCTCCCACAGCCCTTCCCAGGCCCAGCTCACCCCTGCCAAGGCCACCTGCACCCTCTGCTCTCATTGCCTTGCTTCTATAGCAGGTAGCCCAAAGTTCTCTGCTTCTATGTTTTTACGGATCTTTTTTCCTTAATATCTAAGGGAGGTAAGGGCCTTAGCACACTGTGTGACACACAATGTGTCCAAAAACAGCAACCTTGATTATTACTCTTACTGCTATCCTTATTATTCATCCCAATAAATCCACCTAAATGGCTCACCCACGTCGCCAACAGCCTCCTCATCTCACATCTGGTGACGTTTTCTCTATTCCATCCTCACTGACCTTGGGCTGGTTAATACATCCCTGCTTGTTTAAAATTCTTTCTTTCTTTGGCTTCTAGGGCACCCTCTTACCCCAGCATCTCACACAGACTTCAGAACCAGGAAGTTAATCAGCATACACAGGTGGACTTGAATTTGGAAACCCAAAGCCCTTTTGCCCGCTGCTGCCTCTGGCCACCACATCCAAAAGCAGGTGATGCAGAACCCACCCTGCTCCCACATCGAGGCCATTGCACATGTGGCCCCCACTTCCCCCACACCGTCATGTGCCTCATTCTCAGGCTTCTTTGAGGTCTCAGCTCAAATGTCACCTCCCCGCAGAGGACTTCCCTGACCATCGGGAGCATCTCAACCAAAGGCAAAACTCAGGGACCCAGGAAGACAAAATCGATGCTGTCCTCTCTGCCCACAGGTTGTTCTCTGGTTGACTCACCCCTGCTCACCTGGATCAATGTCTCCAGCTCCTGTGGGCTCACACAGATATGATCCCGCAGGAATTCTGCCTTCTCCAAGGCGATGGTATTCTTCTGGCTGCTCTCAAAAGGCTGCTCCAGTGCCCGGAAGACGAGACCACCAGTGACGAGGTAGACCACCACAACCACGAAGATCGCAACCACTGTCTTCCACTTCATGACGGTCTGCAGGCCCCCCTGGGAGGTGCCTTCCATTCTGGCTACCACCGTGGCTCGGGAGGAGATGGAGAGGCGTGGGGCCGGGTAGTGCCCGTTAGTGGCACCCTTGGGCTGACACACCGGGGGCGCAGCTGCGGGAACAGCCACTGAGAAAGAGGGTGGGGAGAGGGGAAAAGAGAGCTTGTTTATAAACACAAAACGCAAAACCTGTCAGAAACAAAGCACAGATGTCTTTCTCGAGCCAGCGTTCACATGTGAGGATCAAAAATTGGTTCACCAAGTCCACATTTAGGGAATTTGATCAGTTGCTAGGTGCCTGTTTGGGTTCTAAAAAAATAAGACCAGGAGTCCTAGTTTTTAAAAAAATCGTTATGAATTGAGTTTGAAATACTTCTATTTCTCTACAAGCGTCTAAATTTGAAAACTATGTCTCTGTTATTTATAATTCATCTCTTCCCTTAGCTACCTTGTTTAAACGATGTGTAAGATACACCATAAATCACCATATTTGAAAAATAGACATATTGCTCAATTTGGAGAGGACATAAATAGGAGAGGGATACCCAGCTATTCTATCCAAGTACTGAGGGCTAGGTGATACCAAGAGCAGAGGAGAAAGGAACAACTACCAAGTTTAAAAGTCCCTTTTATCCAGGGCTGTGGTCACAAAACCAAAGAACGAAAGATAAGCTTGCTGTAAGGGAGATAAGTCAAAAATCAGACAGAGTAAGGAAAGTTTGGGTTTCTGAAGACTACTAAAGGTGAAGAAAAAGAAAGGCGGCCATACGAGGAATGGAAATAATGAGTGATGTTTTATGCCAATTAACTTGGTTTCCTGAAAAAAATAAGAATAATAAAATAGATACTAAATGTATTCCTCAAGAGAAAATGTGATGAGTTAGATGTAATCTCTCCTGATCTATTTGTAATAGAATTTTTCTTCTATTTTCTTCCAATAAGAAGCCAATGAAAAGAAAATTTCCCCTGGTTTTCAGAACACATCAAATTCTCAAAGGTCCCTGGTCTCTGTAAGGGCAATTTCATTACCTTGGAAATAAATATGTTAAGCTGGAGGTTTTTCTGGAACGGCAGGAAGTTCAGGGTATGTTGTACACATAATGCTGTCATGCATTTCAAGAAATCTATCCTGTGCAACAGCGCATGGCCGCTTCGCTTCGATTTTGTTCTCTCTTTATTATACTAATGTTTATTATGGCCTCTGTCGTGGTGCAGCCTGGCTGTTGTATAAATAAGATATTGAGACAACAAACCTAATTACCTAAGTGGGGTGAACAATCCCACTCATGGGAACTAAACTGCTCAGTCTCTGCCCTGGGAAGTTCGGGGTAAATAAAAGCACAGGGATGTCACTCCTTGTTCAAAGCACCAACCATCCTGACGACAGTTGGCCAGAGGGGTGGCCAACTTGAGGAATCTAGGTTCGTAAACATCTGCCTTTCCTCCTAGAGCTTCAAAATCAGCTTTTTTCTTTGGAAACAAAGGTGAACATCAGCCTTTTATTGTACATTATTCTATCAAATAAAATCATTAAATAATACATTATATTCTGACTTACATGAACACAAAACTCTCTCGAATCTCTGATTGAAAGACTTGAGAATTAGAATCAGCAGCCTGGGCACTATTTCTTGCTAACCCTTCCCTAAAGATGGTATATTCAGGTTCCCACTTTCCCTGTTGACAGCCTTGTCTAGAGCGGCTTTCTTGCAGCCTTGCCCGAATTTCCCATTCATTCGACCTCCCCATGTTATCTCAATGCCTTGTGCCTCTCACCATCTCCACAGCCACTAGCCTCATCCAAGCCATCATCGCATCTTGCCTGGACCAATCCAGTAGCCTGCTATGTGACCTCCTCGCATCCACTTTCACCCACCTTCTGACCCATAAGTCTGGGCTTAAATGCCATTTCTGGAAACACCTCCTCCCCCTCTCCCCTGTTCCCTCTGTGGTCAGCAGAATAATGACTCCCAAAGATGTCCACATCCTAATCCCTGGACCTATGCCTATGTTATCTTCCATGGCCAAAGGGCCTTTGCAGATGTGATTAAGTTAAGGATGTGAAGATGGGGAGATTATCCTGGATGATCTGGGTGAGCCCAATGTAACCACAAATGTCCTTATAAGAGGGAGGCAAGAGGGTCAGAGAGAGAAAAAAAGGCAAGGACAGAAGCAGAGGTCAGGGTGATGAGACCACGAGCCAAGAGATGCAGTCAGCCCCTAGAAGCTGGAAAAGACAAGGAACAGATTCTGCCCTAGAGCCTCAAGAAGGATCCAGCCCAGCCCACTACTTAATTTCAGTAAGGGAGACGGATTTTGAACTTCTGATCTCCAGAACCATAGATAATAAATTTGTGCTGTTTTAAGCCACTAAGTTTGCAGCAATTTGTTACAGCAGCAACAAGAAACTAATACACCCCCACTAGATTAGGTCTCCCTTGGTCTGCACTCACTGCCTCGTGCTGCTGATACAGCCTGTTTACTTGCCCAGCCCACTCATTCGACTTAAAGCTCCAGGAGAGCAGGCACCGTGTCTACCTTCACCTCTGTACCCCAGCGTCTTGCACGGTGCATGGCACACAGTGGGTGGCCAATCAACGATGGTTGATTAAATGAATGAAGAACAGAAGGAAGGAAGAAATCTTGGCACGTCCAAACCACACACACAATGAGTGGTGTTAAGTGGAAAACAACTCGACATCCTAGCAACGCTGAACAGCAGGTCCTGCAACACGCCAACGCTCTGTTCACACCTCCACACCTTGGCGGATCTTCCCTCGGCCAGCAGCCCTCTCCCTACTCACATCTGCTTGGGAATCTCCCATCATCCTCAGTCTCAGCTCTAAGCCACTTCCTCCATGAAGTCATCCTAGATTCTCCAGGCAGACTTGGTGTGCCCGTCTCCGCATGAGCCCATGAACTCCTAGGAGTCAGAAAGCTTGTCTTCTAATCATTGGCTCTCCATATCTTGGCACAGTGCCTGGCATAGAGAAATGTCTGTTTTCTGTGGTTGTTGCTGATAACTCCTTCGGACTATAAACAAAAGCCCCATCAGAATCTCCACCACCCTCAACAACAAGCATTGATTTAGCACCAAATGGACCTGTGATGTGGTGGGGATAAGGCAAGGTCTCTCCCAGCTTCGGGGGGTTGACAGTCTACTTAAGGAACCTCCACAGTGCCAGGTCACAAACGCTAGGATGAAGCCTCACTGGGTGACAAATGATGCCCTTGAACATGCAGGCCAGTTGGAGCTGGGGCTCCTTCACTGACCTGCATCATGGATGCTTCCAGCGCTTCTAGCATCCCTGAGGCTTACAGAATTTGGCTCGAGAAAGGTCTTTTCAGGCCAGTTCCTTGTGCTAGTTTGCTAAGAGACTGTCCCCAGGAACAGAGTTTGAACCGAATCCACCAATCCCTGAGTTTCCAAAGCACTAGGAACAAAAACCAGAGTTTTGGTCCCAAACCCACCAGTGTCTGGGTGACCTTGAAACTGTCACTTAGTCTCTCTGTTTCCTTATCTGTAAAATGTGAATAATAACAGCCATGGTTTTTTTACCCCCACACTGTTCTGGAGAACAGCAGATGAGATGCCCCGGTTTACCAATTGCAGTGTAATTGTAGGTATCAGGAGTGCTCGCAGGGACCAGAATGTTACAAAACCTTTTGTGCCTTTGACTAAAAATGGAGTTGGCTGCTTTAGCAAAGATGACTGCCCCTTTCAATGGCTGGAAAAAGATTTGGTTTGTGCCTTTTCCTTAACTTGGGTAAGTTTTCAAAAGGTGTTTCGGTTAATCCATTTCCTCTCCTCTGAAACCAGAGCTGCTCTCACTCTAATACAAAGTTGCCTTGTGACCTAGGACGTGCCACTGGAGCTCTCTGTGTCTCGAGCCAGCAAACAAGCCAACTTGGCCAGATGACAATGACAGTGGTGGTGGTGGTGGTGGTGGTGAAAGTATCAGGAGTTTCCACCATTTACTGGGCACGTACTTTGTGCCCATTGCTCTGATAAACGCTGTGCTTACATCATTGCATTTGGCCCTCACCATAAGGTATTACCGTCCACGTGTGTCCAGGTCCTCCCAGAAGCAGATGCCAAGAGGAAATTAAATGCATATGAATTTCATTAGGGAAAAAACATGCAGGAGAGAAGATGGGAGGGAGCCAGGCTAGCACAGCCATCAGACACACTGTGAGGCTGACCCAGAGAGAAGGAGGGAGAGAAGGAAGGATGGGTATAAGCTCCCTAGACCGCCTGCAGCCTAAGGAAGTTTCAGCATGGTTTTCAAAGAGAACTTGAGTCAAAGTCGGCCATCGGAGGAGCCCTGTGTCCCCCAGGAAGAGGCGTGCCTTAGGGTCTCTTATGCATTCAGCCACTAGCTGGGAGCCCACAAACGTGCCCACAGTGGATTTCAAAGCAGCAGCTGGAGCTCTAGGTAAATTACACTCCCCCCAGCTGGAGACCTGCAAGGCACAGCCTGCTCATGACCACACATCCCCACTTCACAGATAAAGAGACTGAGACCCAGAGAGTTACAGGACTAAGCCGAGGTCAAGTGGCCAGAAAGTGGTGGGGCCAGGATTAAAATTAGAACAATCTGACTTCAAAGTCAGTTCTCTGGAGCGTAGGAACAGAAAAATAGGAAACAAATTCGAGGTGGAAAGGGCCCTTTTATCTGAAAATGAGAAAGCCATTTTTCTCAGACAGGCATAAAAATATTTCCCAGTCTATGAGATTGACTACTTTCATTTCCTAGATATGACAGAATTTTTTCCCCATATAATGGGTCACAGAAGCCATGGCCATCACACTTCACGACTCTCAATCCAACAGAAAAGTATTGGGCAGCAAAGTCCTGCCAGGAATTGATGAGAAAGGAAAGGGTGGAAGACAATATCCCCTTCAGTTAAGTTTTTATTTTGAAATATTTCCTCACAAATGTTGGCCCATTCCATTTTTACCTAAATGTGCGTGGATACGAGGTAATGTGTGGAAATCTGCTTTTCCTTGGTTGAATAAGTTCTTGGTAATTTTCTACTATTCAGAAAAACCTATTATTCAGTCTTTCCCGTGCCCCACACACTGTTCTGCATGATCTCCATTCATGTACTCAATCAACAAACATTT